CCATTAGAAGACAACATGTTAACGCATTGACAAGTTATTATTGACACTGTAAAATATCATCATGCATTCTTTTATGTATGTTCTATCTTTTGCATTTTCTTAAAGGAATAGTGCATAACGACTTTTTGAAGGATTACTTACATGATATTGTCACATTACTATCACAAGGATCAACAACATTTAGATAAGAGAAATGCAATTAGGTAGGGGGTATCTAATCTCATATGTTCCTCTAGCTTTCGTCTCTTAGTATCAATGCCAGCTCGTCAGAATGTTTTTTATTTTAATGTTCTTTTCAATTTCCACGCATTTCACCTTTCTTTAAATTCTCTTAATATTTCGTATAGAAACATGACACGTCAAATTGAAATAGTCAAATAAAATCTTTGCCTGAGATTTACACCAACCATATATTCTTGGCAAGTCAAGGCTATGCCCACTGACGTGACAAGACTAGGCAATCGAAATGTGACTTACATTACGTGCGACTACATAACGTGGATTCACCTCACCATATTTTCTGGTGCCAACTTGCTTTGATTCCCCACAAATACACAACCCCTTTTTTGATCTTTAAATCCCAACTTTATCCCAAAAAAGACGAACACAAAAATCCCCACTTTTTATCCAGGCTTTGTAAAGCAAAATCCCAACGCCACCCGCAACCGCAACCCGCGATCGTGCCGGACAAATCGATCTATGAGGCGAACTGCAATTAGCGCGTGCGAAGAACGGGAGGAGAGGCGAGTGAAGAGAGGGGGAAAGTGACACGTAAGGAAAAGAAGCAAGAGGACAACATGCGTAAAAGCGTGAGTCAGAGTCACGGAACTGTACCTGCAACGGACTACGGAAAGACGACCCGTCCGGAAACCGCTAATTGCGCTGCCATCTTTTCGCTTTCGCCGAGGCTCCGCCCCTTTTTCTTATCTTTGTCTGCCTCATTTTTTTTCTCTTCATCTTTTACTGTTTTTTGGGTTGATTTTCTTTTACCTAATTTTTTCTAGCATTTCCAATTTTCCACTACAAAATATAAGTTATGAAATGACATAAAAGGGAAAGTTCTTTATGTACCCTACAATTAATCCCTGAAAATCCACCTCATTTCAACAAATTGTAAGGGAACTAAAAAGTTTATTCTTTTTTATATATTTATAGAAAAGATCAAAATATATTAATGAAGAAATGAATTACAACGAAAGTAAAGCCTATCCTGAGTCCAAGGCCCGTTTGTCCACGCCTACTCCACACCATTCAAGTTGTATTGTCCACATGTTTAACTTTAAAATTCGTTACACATGAATAGACGTGTTGAGAATATTCAATGTGAATGCAATAGCAGTTAAGGTTAGTAGAGTTTATTTTTGCTCCCCCTAGTATGCAACAGGGCAGCACATCTAGTTGCTTCTTTTGTCTCAGAATGGATGGCTCCCATACATAGGATTGTTTTTTAGCCAAAGTGGTTGTTTAATTCTTTGGCTTCTAATGTAAACGTTTCTATTCGAATTTAATCATATTTCTTTTTCGACAAAAAAAAGAATAAATGTGTTAAAAATGAATTTCATGTTGATGACAGATTTGACTGTTCATGAGTTTATAAGTAAATTGGGTTACCCTTCATATGGCCAATTTATTTTATGATAGAACTTCAAATTTCTTCAGTTTTTATTAATTTTACAACGGGAGAAGATTTGCAACTAAGTCGGGGGTTGTGTATATAATTTTTAATTATTGAAGCAATTGATTGTGTTTATGAGTGAGTAACAACTCTTGGTTTATATGAATAGGCAAGTGTAAGTGGTTAAGAGTTTGGAATAATTAATATGTAGGCAAGGTTAGAGGCAAATAAGAAATATGGCTCTTTATTATATATATGGCTCTCAGTAGAAACTTCCAATGAGAAATCAACTAAATAATAGAATTAATTTCATTTGAATGGAATAATTTTATTAGCAAGTTTATTTGACCCAATTAAATTTCTTGACGGCATATATATATATATATATATATATATATTACAAGTTCATACATGGTCACTTACAGAGGATCTTGAGGATCTGTAAGTTGTGTCCATTCAACGTATATCATGCGGTCAGTTTTTATCAGATACTGTTTGTGTTTAATATTAAATAAAAATATTTAAAATAATTTCTGACCGTACGATGTACAATGAACGGACACGATTCACAAATTCTCGGGATCATCACAAAGAGGATCCGGATTCCTTACAGATGTTGCATCACCATGACTCGGACTAGCACGTATCATCTTAAAACAGAATTTTCTACTTGCTCGATTTTATTTTAATTATAAAAATCCCTCCAAGTAAAGTGGAGGAAGCAACAGTTCAATAATCAATGATCAAAATGTAGCATAACAAAACATACTTTTATAATCATGTGATAAAAGAAGGAGATTATTAATCGGAACTACACGAAAAGGTTTAGTGACTTCTTTGGGCAACCGCTAATTGCGACCAGGTTTAACATATTAGCATGGTAAAATTCTAAACCCTAATCATTACAGTATAGATTCATGTTAAAGGAAATTGAGGTTCTACTACGAAACAAATTGATAACGAGAGAATAGTTGTGCTCATTATAAGTAAATGCATGGTTGCTTAGGTTTCCAATGTGAACTCTTCATATATTCTCGCATGTCTCTTCAATTGTATTTGACACAAGCCAAACACAGTAAAGAATGCGTAGTTGGTTGCTTTACACGTGAACTAATATGACTGCACTACGAAATAAAACCAATTACAATAAAAAAGTAACCTAAGTGATGGCGAGAGTTTATGTGTTAATGAGGTAGAATTAGGCATATCTCAAATGATCGAGTCCCTTAAATTGTAAGGAAGAAAAAAGGTATGATATGGAAGAACACAATCCACGCATATTAATTATAATGGATTTCAAAATCTTGTCCTTTTTCATAGAATTTTGATTGCCATGGTGACAAAATCGATCACATAAAGAAAAAAACAAAGAAATAACGACATAATTGTAACTACAATAGTGGTGTGGATTGAATTCTAGAGGATTGCGATCCATAAACGAGAGAAAATATCAGACCAAAAAATAAGGAAAAAATGGGTAATGTAGAACTTTTGTCGTGTCAACTTTGAGGCAGTTTCCAAATTTTGTTTGCTCAGATTTCTTCGAGCAGATGGCATACATGCCATAGAATCATCCCGTGACAGTTTGCTTTTTTGTGAAGTATGTTTAGACACATGAATTGAAGATCTACAAATATTTCAGTTAGAAGATACAACGTTGAGACTGAAATCAGGACAAAAGAGGTATAGGACAACTTGAAAAAAGACTTTAAGAAAAGATATGAAGTGTTGGGAACTAATGTAATACTTGAGGCAAAATCGAGAGCATTGGAGTTCTAAGTCATACAACCGACTTTATTTAATAGGGACTTGGTTGATGTTTGGTTTTGGATTTTTTTTTTTTTGCAGGTTTTGTTTCAAATATATTTATATCTGAAAAAAACACCAATTTTATGGCAACAAATGATAAGAACATGCAAAGTTTCAATAGCAACTTGTCGTGCATTAATCTATATATGCATCGATCTCTGCCTCGATTCCCTTAATATATATCCAAGTTAGTTTAAGGATTCTTTCATCCACTGATTGAGATTTGAAGCAGGAAGCCGCACACAGTTTCCATAATCCACATTTATATGTCTGTTACGTTTTGGAAATGCGTTACTTATTGTTTGCTAGCTAGTCAAATTTTAAAATTTAGATACATTCACTTGTACATTCGACTGTATTATTTTAAAAACTAGACTTTCTATTCTATATACCAACTAATGCCTAATCTCTTATTTGTTTCATAATTAATCTTGCTTTGAAACCTATAATAATGAGAAATTTTATGGAATAGACGATGCATTGCGCTGACTTATCGTGCAAATTCTCGTGTATTGACGTTTCGTGTAAACTTTCTGTACTGACTTCTTATGCCCGCTTTTCTCGTTGACTTCCTACTTTATTTTCTTAAAAAAGTTGGTTTGATCTTCAGCGCCGATTTCATATCTACAGGCAATTTCAGGTCATGCATATACAACTGCAAGTCTGTCGAAGTAGCTAACGTATTACATTGGTCTCACTTAAGATTTACCTCAGTTAATCAAATACATCCGCATAACGTCATTCAACATCTACAATTTAGAGATGTTTATATTACTTTGGATCGCAATTTTAGTATGCCAAGGTAAGCGAGAAAGCTGGATATTCATAATACCTTTTTATTATGTTAGGATAAATGAAAGTGATTTTCACACTCTCATTTACAATGTAATTTTACACTTTTATTTTATCCTTATTCACTCTCGAGAGTATTAATCTCACATAAAAAAGAATGGATCTTACATGTACTTATAAGTAATTGGAATACTTTCATATTTTCGTTACTCTTTACCGAACACAAAGAAGAGATATTTTAATTAATTTTATGATAAAATTTCAACTTTCGTTAGCCACTACCCGAAGGCAAATATAAGGGACCGGAGTCACATTAGAAGCATTCCTGTTATTTTATTTTGTTTTTGTAATAAAAACAAAATAGATTAAAAGATGAATGCGAAACATGCAGTGTTACCTGCTATGCTAGATGCTAATGATGGTGCCCAATTAACGCAATATACGCCGAAAATCTAAAACAAAAGAAGAAAAGAAAATACAGTAATTTAAATATATTTCTGTGACCAATAAATAAAAAATGATCCGCGCATATTTAATTGTTTGTTTTAAGAATAATTAAAAAATGGAAGGTAAAAAGGAAAAATAAAAAGATTGTACCTGCCAAGTACGCCTAATTGTACCTCCCACCCAACTTCTCTCATCACCACCTTTCCATGTCCCAAACATTTCACTACGACTCTATGAGACTCTCTCTCTCTCACTCTCTCTCTTTCTCTCTCCTCCCCCTTTCTTTATTCCATCTCTTGCCCTTTATATATTCCCTTCCCCTCCACACACCTCTCACACCCACTACTCCAATTCTCTCTCTCTCGCTCTCTCTCTCTAGAAATTTACTCTTCAACTCTCTCTCTCTCTCTCTATCTTTATCTCCTCACGCCGTCCGTACATCAGCAAACACCATGAAGCAGCTCATCCGCCGTCTGTCCCGCGTGGCCGACTCCTCGCAGTACTGCCTCCTGCGCTCCCCGGCGGACGCCGCCTCCCGCCCGCGCAGAAGCGAGTCGTTCCGTGTGAAGCTCCGGCGCCGGAGATCCTCCGCTGGCGAGCCGGTGGTCCCCGAGGGCCACGTCCCGGTCTACGTCGGCGACGAGATGGAGCGGTTCGTGGTCAGCGCCGAGCTCCTGAACCACCCGGTCTTCGTCGAGCTCCTCAACAAGTCGGCGCAGGAGTACGGCTACGAGCAGAAGGGCGTCCTTCGGATCCCCTGCCACGTGATCGTCTTCGAGCGCGTGCTCGAGGCGCTCCGCCTCGGACAGGCCCCCTACACGTGACCTGCACGATCTCCTGAACTCGATCTCCGACGACCTGAGATCCTGGTAGATTTTGTAACTTAGGCAAATATTTTGGCCTTTTATGTAAATACGGTCGGGGTTTTCTATCCAAACGAAGCGAAGCGAAACGTTTTTTAGGAAGTTTTTTTGGGTGTTGTTGTAAAGGGAAGGAATACTGATGAAAGTGCTAGAGTGCGCGCTAGGTGCTGGTCTCTCTGTGCAAATTAAACTGAAATTACAGTCATGGCAGAACGGAAAATACTTGTACTTTTTTGTCCCAATTTCTGTGTCGCCTTTTCTGTTTCTTCCTATCTTAATTTTCTGCTTGTTTCCGAGAAAATATGATATGGATGAAAAATGGTAAAGAAAGAAAATCATGTAACATTACAATTGGGATTCCGCAGATACGATCTTTGTCAAATTCGCTGGAGCAGTGTGGTTTTTTAATTGCGATTCCGTACATGCCAATTTCAAGGTTTTAAAATTTTAATTTATACATTTTGTGGGAAATTGAGTGAAGAAATTATTTATACGATTTGGGGTTACTGAGCAGTGAGTGGTATTTCGAGTTGATGGTTTGCATTTTCTGGCAGTCCAAACGGGGTCGAGTTTTCCAACGGAAGCCGGACACGAAGCTAGGACTAAATTACGGAACTGGGACAGTATTAATTTCGGGGGTTGTAACGTGCCAAATGGATCTGGAAAAGTCTCTGACACGAAACGACCAAGTTGGAACTGGGTCCTCTTTTCTGTAATTTTCGTGTTTTCTGGTGGCTGTTTGAGGTGAGGGATGGCTTTTTCTGGTGCGTGGGGGCTTTTGGTCAATTCGCGTGGATGATGGTTTCGGTGGATTATGGAGTTATGAGGCTGTTTTAACGGTGGTAGATCGAAGGGCTGGAGAAGTACGAGCATCTTTGAAAAAGTAGTGCGTCATCCTTGTAGATTAGTATGTTAGTTGGCTGTTCAAAATTTGTATTTTTTTTAAGTACGCAGATATTTTTACATTAAAGAGATAGAGACTTTGGTTAAGCTATATAATAAGCAATTTAATTTAGTATTGAATTCGCCATCTACGAGATTCGAAAGAGTTTAACAGTCAATCAAGTTATATGTGCTGTTTTGGTTCAATAGTTTATTCTCACGTGACATTATATTATTAAACTGATACGTGACATGATAATGAATTTGTTTATTGACCGTTGATGCATTATGGGTTCTAAAAGGTTTTAATTAAGTTATTGTTAGATGAGTCGTCAAGAGTTGATACTAACCGTTGATTTATTGTGGGTTTTAAAGGTGTCAATCAAGTTAGAGCTAGGGGCGAGCTGAGTAGAAGTGTTATTGATTGTTGATGCATTGTAGATTTTAAAGGTTTCAATTAAGTCAATGCTAGGTAAGTAAGAGAGATGATATTGATCGTTGATACAACTTGTGAGTTTTGAAGGTGTCAATCATGTTAGTGCTATGACACAAGAATGATCTAAGTAGAATTCATAATGCATCAACAACCAAAACCAACGTACATGCCGTGGAACTCCTACAAAAATGTGGGTGGTGCCGTCATAAACTTGCATGCTTGGTATAGCATTAATATTTCAGAGGGAACAAAAAGAAAAAGAGCAAATATACCGATTACGGCCGAACATGCACATAATCCAGCAGTTAATCTTACCTCAGCTCAATGATTAAAAGAAAACTGGCAAAACAAACCTCATTCTGTAAGAATTGCAGAAATCTTGAAGATGCAGAAAGAAGAAAGAATGCAGAAGAACGAAGAAGAAATGAGAACAAGAGAGTTAGGAATGAAACAGATTTTGAGGGAAGAAAAGACTTGTTATTTTTCTCACCTTCTTTCTGTTTACACACTCACTGTTATATGTAGTTACAACACCTTCTTACTAAGCTTAGGACTAACTGCTATCTAACAACCTTATAACAAACTATGTAGGATCTTGACAAGTGTCACTTATTTCTGCCATAGATTGATCTTTCACTTGGAGGTTGGTATTTCTTGCTTCACTATTCTTACATCCCCCCTCAAGCTCATGCGTGTAGGAGCTGAGCATGAGATTGCCACAATGCAACTGGAACAATGGCGCAGACAGACCCTTAGTCAAGATGTCAGCAGACTGGTCAGATGAAGAAACATGTTGAATTTGGAGATCTCCGCGTGTGACACGTTCGCGCACAAAGTGGTAATCAATTTCAATGTGTTTGGACTTAGCATGAAACACCGGATTGGTGGATAGAGCGATGGCAGAAACATTGTCACAATGTATCATGGGAGGCAAGGACAAGGGAATGTGAAGATCACAGAATAGCTGACGTATCCAGGCAAGCTCAGCTGCAGTGATGGCAAGAGCGCGATATTCAGCCTCTGTGGAAGACCGAGAAACAGTATGTTGCTTCTTTGAAGCCCAAGAGATTGGATTGGAACCAAGGAATACAATGAAACCAGATGTAGATCGGCGATCGTTGGGGTCGCCCGCCCAATCGGCATCGCTATAGGATTGCAGATAGAGTGGTCCTGACTGAAATCGAATCCCATACCCCGAAGTGCCTTTGAGATATCGAATGATGCGTTTGACTGCAACGACATGGGATTCCATAGGGTTGTGCATAAACTGGCAGGCTTGATTAACGGAAAACGCGATATCAGGTCGAGTAAACGTGAGGTATTGCAGTGCACCTACGATACTACGATACTGGTCAGGACTGTGATAAGGTTGCCCATCATCTTTGATCAGTCTGTGATAAGGAAGACAAGGAGTAGCACAAGGCTTACAGTCTTGAAGGTCAACCTTGTCAATTAACTCCTGGGTGTATTTGGATTGAGAAACAAAGAGACCATCAGAAGTGTATTGAATCTGAAGCCCGAGGAAATAGTGCAGAACGCCCAAGTCTTTCATATCAAATTCCATAGTGAGAGCTGAAATAACATTGGACACCAGCTGGGAATCACTTCCTGTGAGAATCACATCATCCACATAAAGCAAGAGAACAACTGTGCCCTCGGATGTATGTTTAACAAACAAAGAAGGATCAGCTAGAGACTGTCGAAACCCCAATCCAGGCAAAAAACTTGTAAACCGGTCATTCCAGGCTCGAGGAGCCTGTTTTAGACCATATAGAGATTTTTGAAGCTTGCAGACATAAGAGGAAGGATGACTAGAGCTTTGAAAACCTGGAGGTTGTTCCATATACACTTCTTCATTGAGTAAACCATGCAAGAATGCATTTTTAACATCTAATTGGCGAAGAGGCCAATGAAACTGTGCTGCCAATGCTAGGATTAATCGAATGGTTGTAGGTTTAACCACTGGACTGAACGTTTCACCATAATCAATGCCTTCCTCCTGACTGTACCCCTTTGCAACAAGCCTGGCTTTGTATCTAGAGATGGAGCCATCTGCATTTCGTTTGATTCTGTACACCCACTTACAACCAACCAGATTTTTATGGGGTGGAAGAGGAACAAGGGACCATGTTTGCTGAGAATTTAAAGCAGCAATCTCCTCTTGCATAGCAGACTGCCACTCTTTCACTTTTGCAGCTGCTTTGAATGTTTTGGGTTCTAAAAGTGGTGAGGGGAGAGCCACTGATGCAGAATAAGCCTTTCGTTTGACTATGCCACTTTTGGAACGAGTCTGCATTGGATGCAGATTCATATGGATGGGAAGATCAACACTTAGATTGTCTTGTTGGAAATCAGGATCATCAGGGATAGGGAACTGTGTAACAGCATGAGGGCTAGACACTATGGGTATAGAGGCAGACAAGAAATCTGTGGCACTAGATGAAACTGGACTCAAGGACTCTGAGGCTTGAGATGAAGATGAATGAAGATGTGATGAGGGTAAGGTGACATGATTATGCAATGAAACTGATGGTATGAATGGTGCAGATGAAGGAAGTAAGGACTTGGATGTGGATGAAGACATCTGAGATACAGCAGTGAATGTGGTGGAGTATGGAAACAGTGTTTCATCAAAGAGAACATGTCTAGAAATATAGATTTTGTTTGTGAGGCCATTTAAACAGATAAAACCTTTGTAGTTGGCTGGATATCCCAAAAATATACAGGTTGTGGTTTTGGGTTGAAGTTTGGAGGTGTTATAAGGTTTTAAGAGAGGGTAACAAGCACACCCAAATACTTTGAGATGTGTAAGAGGTGGAGAGTGACCAAGTAATAACTGGTACGGAGATTGCATTTGTAAGGAGAAACAAGGCATTCGATTTATTAGATAAATGGCTGTAGAACAAGCAAAGAACCAGAATTTGGAAGGAAGTGTGGCTGTTTGCAATAAGGTGATGGCAGTTTCCAAAATATGTCTATGCTTCCTTTCTGCCAGCCCATTTTGCTCTGGAGTGTAGGGACAGGATTTTTGATGCAAAATACCTTTGGCTGTGAGAAAGTGTTGAAATTGATGACTTATGAATTCACCACCACCATCACTTTGGAAGATTTTAATATGTGCAGAAAACTGGGTATGTAAGTAGGCATGAAACTTAACAAAGATTGAAAAAACTTCTGCTTTATTTCTTAATGGAAAAATCCATGTGTATCGAGTACATTCATCCACAAAGCTAACATAGTACCTATACCCTTCAAATGATAGCACAGGGGCAGGGCCCCATACATCACTATGAATGACCTCTAAAGGAGTTACAGACTTAGTTGCAGGATAAGAAAAAGACAACTTTGTAAATTTGCCTTCCAAACAAGGAGTACAAATACTGGGACAAGTGTCTGTGAATGCAGAATGGTTGATGTGTTGAAGCATTGCAGAGATGACTTTATTGGAGGGATGTCCTAATCGTTGATGCCATAAGCTTGTAGTAACTGGTTTGGCTAGATAACATGCATGTAATGTGGATGATGCAGGTGATTTCTGTTGTGGAGACTTAAACGGGATGGGATAATAGCCAGCTTTACACAGTCCCTTGAGAAGAATTGTCCCTGTGATTTTGTCCTGAATCCAAAAGGAAATATCATCACATATGAATCTACACTGGTTATCCTTGCAGAGTTGATATATTGATAATAAGTGTTGGGAAAGTTTAGGAACGTGCAACACATTGTTCAGTGTAAAAATGTGGCTAGGAGCTTGCAGAGTAGATGTACCAATATTAGAAATTGTCAAACCTGCACCACTGGCAGTGGTTATAGTATCTGTGCCTTGGTAATGATTAGCCATGTCAAGATTCGCAAGCTCTGAAGTCATATGAGACGTGGCACCAGTATCCGCAACCCAGAACTGTTCAGATGATGAAGAGGGAT